AGTGAGTTCCAGGACAGCTGGGGCTACAGGGAGACCCTATCTCAAAAAGACCAAAAAAAAAAATAGAGGAAACAATTTTAAGAACTATTTTCATCAACAGTTTGTAAAATATAAGTAATTGCTGAAGAAATACATTCTCGTATCACAAAAAATTAACTTTCCAAGGATGCCAGGTAAGTACCTAAATACACAGAAATGATTAGCAGAAACAGCTAAACAGGTACCAAAATAAAAATCTGCCCAATCACCATGATATTACAATGCAATATTCATTACTTTCATCAAAGGAAGTGAGAAAAGTGAGAAACTGATGAGAATAGGAAAGGTGGACTATAGAAGTAAAGCTATAAACATTGTTTTAAAACTGTAGGAAAATTTCTAAAGGTGTGTACCATCTACATGTTAAAAAGCAGAGCTATATGAATATAAGTACTTGTTCAGAAGCGTCCAATAATAGGAAAAATGAAATAAAAATTTTAAATATACAAAATGTCTATAAATATTTAATGTTTTTATAACCCTTTTGAAATGTCTATTCTAGTAAGTAGAGATGTGTCAAAACCTAGATGGGCTAGGGTGCATAGTCTATGAAAATGTTAAAAACAAAATCACTTACAATACTGGTGCCACAACTGTAAGAAGATTGTGATTTCAGATGACCTTGGTTTGACCAATATGCTTTCTAGTAAACAGATATGTATTTTGAAGGCAAAGAAAGTGGCAAAGAAATCTTAGTTTCATCTGGAAGTCTGGTTAACAGTAACAGTAACTTGACTATTCCCAATGGCTGTGACTCTATGTAAGACTCTTTGCTGGAGAATGAAGTAGGAAGTCATGTGACTACTTGCTTTCAGTCTGAGAACAGAGTGAAGTATTAAAAAGTAGCTAAGTTAAAAGCTCTGTGAAGTTCTATTTGGGTTTTTTGGTGGGGGGGCGCTTTTTGAGTCAGGCTCTCTGAGTGCTGGGATTAAAGGTATGTGTCACCACGCTTGGCTTATAAAGTTCTATTTTAAGTTCTGGTTTGTAGTGTTTATTTTTTTTTCTATGTAAAATACATGATTTACATTCTAGTTTTGCCCACTGAAAATTTTTCAACCCAATGAAATCTTAAGAGCAAACAATCTAGTATCAAGACTGTGGTGTCTAAATACCATTACCTATTATGAGAAATAGCTGAATCTTAGACCATGAAGAAGACACAATGTCATTTGGGGATATTACTAAGATACTCTCAGAAGCTAAAGTAATCAGAGAAGCACACATTCAAAGGTCAAACTATTTTAACATTGCAAGAACAATGATTACAAGAGGCTGGAAGTAATATTAATCCATAAACACATAGGAGAATTGAAGCAAAAGGCAGTGGTGGTCAAGAGAGGAAGAAAAGAGCCAAGAGAAAAACCCTCCCTGCTCTTCAGTCACTTGCTATCACTGGAATCATTCACAGAACTTACTCAGCACTCTGAACCATGGGAACTGGGGAAAGACGGACCCTGGCATTCCTGTACACTACACTAAAAGGGTAACTAAGCATGATTAGTCAGTAAGAGAAAGGTTTTCTTAATAATAACAATAATATGCCGGGCGTGGTGGCGCACAACTTTAATCCCAGCACTTGGGAGGCAGAAGCAGGCGGATCTTTGTGGATTTGAGGCTGGCCTGGTCTACATAGTGAGTTCCAGTACAGCTGGGGCTACAAGGAGACCCTATCTCAAAAAGACAAAAAAAAATTAGTAATAATAATAATAAAAACCTAGAAATATGTAAGGACTTTTCAACTCATGCTAGACACATCTAACCAACAACAATCAATAAATGAAACACCATTAAAAACATTTTAAAGGTTCCAATATCTGAATACTCTGATCTACCTTAACACTATTAAAAGTATAACAAAATACCAAGTGTGAACCCTAATGTAAACTATGAATTTGAATAATAACAGATGTAAATTCATGTACTTATATAGGTCCCGATTCAGGTGGGGATGATGACAGGAGAGGCTGTCCCATGTACAGGGGCAGAGGACGTACAGGTAACTTCTGTACTTCTTGCTCAATTTTAATAATCTTTTAAATAAAATGGGACAAAAATAAAATGGGTCTAATATAATGCCAGATCTAAGGTGTTTTGCTTGTATTCTTCTAAAAGTAGGTGCTCTGGGGGCTGGAAAGATGGCTCAGTGCATATAATACTGGCTACTCTTGCAGAGAACCAGGGTTCAGTTCCCAACAACCATCTGTAACTTCTGTTCCAGGGCATCTGATTCTGTCTTCTGACCTCCGAGGGCAATGCATGACATGGTGCACTTACATACCTGTAGGCAATATACTCATACACACAAAATTTTAAAGATTAAAATATTAAAAAAGAAACCTTAAAAGTAAGTAATAACTAGGTGCCCCACAATTCAAATGTGCCTCTGCTTTACAGGGTCTTAACACAGAAGTGAGTTGTCTCTTCAGTAAGCATGGAGAGTGGAGAGATTGAAGGGGATTGGGCAGGACAGTTCTGAAGAAGACATTAATAATAAACAGAACAAAAGGAAATTCACAATTCTAACAGATAACAGCTGAGAAACATGAATACGGGCTATTGTGGGTATTGTTAATCTTCAGAGATACAAATACAGTAAGAGACAACAACTCACAGAATGAGAGCAGAAGCAGTAACACTCCCCAGAACAAAGGAAAATCTCTAAGTCAAAACTCACATGTTGGTACTACTGGTGGGATTGCAGGGGGTGGTACCACAGGTGGGGGAACTGGAGGTGGCATGAAACCTACACAGGGAAGAAACACCAAAATAAAATAGCACAAAGAAACTCGCTTGTATTAAATCAAAGGTTTCAGGAGCTATAAGTCATATTGCACATTTTATCTTTTGAGATAGGGTCTCTTACTCTACTACCTGGGCAGACTGAAGCTCCTCTTTGAGGAGCTGTAACTTCAGTATACTCCACCACACATTCTTAAAATGGCCCTTCATTAGCATGACCAGGTATTTCTGTACACGTACACACACACACACACACACAAACACACACACACACACACACACACACGTTTGAAACCTGTAAGCCAGATAAAACAGAGATTCTGATCATATTCTATTTATTCATTCAAGTTTTGTGAAATGCTCTACGCTGCTGTAAAATAAAGGTTAGTGTAAACTAGGTAATTTACCTTAGAACAATGACCAGGTGGAGACTGTTAAACATCTTTCAGCTCATAGGACACATTAGATACAATATCGCTATCCATGAGAAAGCCAATTTATTTCTTTGATACATATGCTATTTACCATTAAATTAAAATATGTTTTTCTTTAGAGGATATACTTTGAGCACTTGAATAAAAATTTTAATAATGACATTTTAAAGTTAAAGATCACATGATCAAATTATAAATCTCCTTTATAGTTCTCAAAAGTAGAATCATTATTAAATTAGAAAACAGTGATTAAAAACAGATTAAAGAAATCCGCCTGCCTCTGGCTCCTGAGTGCTGGGACTAAAGGCCTGTGCCACCACACCTGGCTCAAGGCCAGCCTGGTCTACATAGTCAGTTCCAGGCCAGCTGGTTCTATAGGGAAACTGTCTCAAAAAGACACCACACCCCACCCCGCCAAAAAAAAAAATAGATTAAAGATGTGATTTTTCAAAAAATAAATGACGGAAAATGGCTTTGTAAAGTCTCTGTGGTATAATTATTGAAATAATTGTTTTAAAATGTCTTCTGAGCTAGGGGAGGCGGTGTATCAGGACTCCAGAGGCAGAGGCAGGTAGAACTCTGTGAGATTGGGGGCAGTCTGGTCTATATAGCAAGTTCCAGGTCAGCTGGGGCTATAAGAATTAAAGGCATGCATGGCCGATAGATTTAGTTTTTAATTCTTTTATTTTGGAGATAGGGTTTTTACATGCCAAGGTGGCCTTCAACTTGCTGTGTATACCAGACTAGAATCAAACTCCTGATCATTCTGCCTCCATTTCTCATGTGCAATGATTATAGGTATGTGTCACCAAACCTGGGCTTACTTTTTAATCCTATTATTCTTATTTTTTAAGAACTTGTTATCTAATGGTTAAACAATTTATAAAAACCAAAGTACTTTTTTCCCTTTTAATATGCAAACAATGAAGCGAAGCTTACTTTGTAATTTTGAGACACACTATTTTATCATTTGATGCCTTAATCTGTCATCCTAACCTACCATGGTCTGACATTAATACTCTTATTTCTAAACTATATAAATCAATTTTTATATAGTTACAGTGTGTATTAAGGCCAGGAGCATGGCTCACATCAGTAGTCACTGCACTTGTAGGTGTGAGACAGGGGGATTGCTGTCTTTAAGACAGATATACAATAGTAAGTTCCAGGCTAGCCTAAGTCATAGTATATGGCCCTGTCGAAGGAA